TGACATCCCCTCAAAGGCCATGCATGGCTCCTGACCCATGGGGCTGGACACCAAAAAACCTCACCAAAGGACAGCGCCACTCTGAGAGGGGCCTACGATCACTTCAGTCTGCTGTGCTGGCAAGACATTTGGTCTGTGGCCAGAGTCCAAGGTGGCCCAGGGATCCCTACGATCCCCCACTTGACCCTTTGCCCTGGACTCCTGCCTGTCTCTAGCTCTGGCAGAAGAGTCTCTATGGTCTCCCACACTGGGTCTTTACCGGACCAGTCCTCAGAGACCTTCTGCTGGGACTTGAAGTGGAGGTGGGGGCAACAGTGGCTTTGGGAGGAGGGCCATGGGCCAGGGCCTGAGGCAGGGGATAGTTGGACCTTAAGAGAGGAGGGTTCCCCAACCACCCATGTGTTTCACTATACAGATCCAGGAGGGGTAGTCCATCTGGGGAGTGGCTTTATCTCAGGGCACCCCAGTAGCCTGAAAGGTCGACTATTTACCAAAAGGAAGGAAGGAAAGGGTAGGACAAGGTCTCTGGACCAGCCAGGTATGATCAGGGTGGGGCTGGCCCATGGGAGGGGGTATGTGGAGGGTCAAGGCCTCTATGTCTCAAACATGCTCAAGGTGTGCTCCACTGGTCCCCCATCCCAAAATGATTCATGATGCTGGCATAGTACTGGTGGTCAAGTGTTTACCCACTCTGTTGTTCCACCTGGACAACTCTTACCTGATTTCTCATGCAGGTAGTCTGTGTCCTCTCTGGTTGGTGTGGGGTGGGAGTGAGGGGACACCACGAGTCTCTGCTGCCCCTTCTGCTCAGCAGGGGAACTTGCAAATGGGCCACGGCCCTGGGTCGAGGCTCTAGCTGACTCTCAACTCTGAGCCCCAACTGCTCTGTCTGGTCAGTTGACCCTACACTCCATGCCCCTAAAATGGGCGGGAGGAGACCTCTCACTCTGGAACGGAACCTGTCTCCGTCCCACCAGCATCCCTAACCAGGGAGCAGACTGGAGAGGGTCCCTGGGTGGGGGTTGCCGAACCCAGGTGCCCTCTGGGCAGGGTGAGAACCAGAGTGGAGGTTGCACAACGGTCCTGGTCAGTTCCTGGTCCTCCAAGGTCAAGAGCTGCCCCGGACACACGTCGTCTTTTTTTCCCCCTTGCTTTGCTGCTCAACAGAAGCGAGTACTGGACTCCGAATGCCCCCTCGGCCTGGCCAGTTCCAGGTCTTCCAGGTCAGGGAGGCTCCCAGGAATCGGGGGTGAGGGTTGCACAGCGTGGACTTAGGGTACTCGGGGCTGGTCCAGCTGCAAAGCAGCTGCGAGCTGGGTCCGCCCGGTCGGCGACTGACAACCAGAGAACCAGGCCGCGCCTCGATCGATCGATGCGCTCGGCGCGCAGCGCGATCACGGGAGCAGGCTGGGGGTAGTCAGGGGCGGGGCGGTGAGCATCGACTGGGAGGGTCGTGCCTGCCGGCGAATCCCTATTGGCAGGTTGTTTGCGGGAGGCGGGTCCCGATCGGCCCGGTGGCTGCGGGCGGCTGCCGGCGGCGGGGTTAAGCGAGTCGCCTGTGCCCGGGCCTAGGCATGAGTTTGGAGCGCTGAACCTGCATGTTGGACCCGAGTCGCCGGCTCACGCCATGGGTCTCTGCCTCTGCCCTAACCGCGCGGCCCTGCTACCGGGTGGCCTCCTGTACCTCCTGCTGCTGCTAATGCTGCTCGCGGACCCGGGGCTCCTGGCCCGACGTCATCCCCCGGTGGTGCTGGGTGAGGCGCGCGTTCGGTAGTGGGTCAGTCCGCCTCTCCTGCCGGACTGACGGGTTGCGTCGTTGCGGTCTTCCGCGTCCACATCTGTTCTAAGCACCGGCTGGGGGAGCCTATTGCTGTTTATCCGTTTTGTCACCGGTGTCAGTCCACCCCGCGCTTCACTGGGCGTGGGTGTGGTCAGTCTCCTGCGACCTGCTCCCGTCGAATATGGGAGTGGGTAGGAGTTCCCGTACCGTTGTCCATGGGCCCTCCTGGCCACATCACCCCAAGCCCTGCTGCTCCTTATTCCCATTTCTTAGCTGGGAGGACCAAGGCCCTTCGGCCCCACTCTTGAAGGCCGGTAAGGGGTGTTGGGTGGCCTCGGAGATGGGCCCATCTTGTCTTGACTGGAAAGCTGTCTCCCTCACCCCGCTTCCAGTTCCACAGGTTTCAGAGGACATTACTGAAAAGAAGCTCTTTGGGGAAAGGATTGCTCTTTTAGCTGGCCTCCAAGCCCCCCCCCCCCCCCCCCCCGCCCCGGCCAACTTATTAAATGGGTGGCATTGGGCCTGAGGGAGGGGCCCAAGGGAAATTGAGGGTAACTGAAGATAGGGGTAAGAGTTGGAACTGGGGCCATGAACAGGTGTCAGGGAATGTTCATCCGCATGCCTGCGCTCTAACCCTAGACCCTGACCTAGTTGGATTAGGCTACGTTGGGGCTGGGACTGAGGACCTCCCTGCCTGCCCCTTCCCTGGCCACTTGCCCTGGCCCCCATCCCAGATAAGGCAACTGTACAGGAGCCACAGTGTCTTCCTGTGGTGGCTGGCAGGGGTGAGGCCTCTGTCTGAGGGGCTTTGGGTGTCTCCTTCAGGTTGTCACTCCCATCAAGAGCTGGTGTGTGGGTGGCCAGCCAAGCCTCCTGAGAGCAGAGGCATACTGAGGCATAATGACATACTGAATCTGCTGCAGCATGAAGCTCATGCTTTGTTTGCTGGGGGTATTTTAATGGGGGTGATGCAGATCATAGATTGGTGGGCAGGCTGATCCTAGGGGGGTCCCCAACCAGGAGCTCTGGGCCAGAACATGTTCCAGGGGGATGCTGGGCCCAGGTTCACCCTGGGATTTGGGCAGACTTGGCTGTGTCTTCCGTAAACTTGCAGGATGGGACTAACAATGATCCCCAGAGACGAGGTCTGTGTTGAGCAAGCACGGAGAAAACACCACCCCAGCCTGCATGGGTAGGTGTCGGGGAAGGCTTCCTGGAGTGTACAGCTGAAGTTGAGGACAGGAGAGAGTTCCAGGCAGAGGGAACTACATGTGAGAGAGACTGGCTGGAATGGAGGTGGGGGGAGGGGTGGATTGTGCAGGTCGCATGACCCTTAGGACATCTGGATTTTATCCTGGGGGCTGCAGGGAGCCAGGAATGGGCCTGTGGTATTCTAAGTGATGGATGTGGCATTGGGAAGTAGTGGGTTCATGGCCCACACCTTTGTTATTGGGACTGATGCTAATTCTGCACTTCTTAATGCCTTCAGGCCTTGGTTATCCTAGGTCACATCAGAGGAACCTTAGGCCCTGCCTAAAGTCACAGAACAGCTGGAGTCCTAACCTGCCTGAGTTCTCAGGGAGTGAGGCTGCTGGCATAAATCCTGAGAGAGCTCACAGGAGACAGCAGATGAGCTGTTCCTGGGCATGTAGTAGGGAAAAGTAATACAGAAAAGTGATACAGAAGACCCTGGGCAGGGGGAATGGACTGTAAGCAAGCCATTGTCACCTCTCCCAGCCTTATTCTCCACATCTGTAAAGTGGGGATAGTAAGGTTGACTCCCCCCCGTCCCCAGTGTTATTGGAGGTGAATGGTACATAGATGGCTCTTGTCCTACTTCTGGGCACAGAGTGGCTCAGAAAGCTGTCTCTGCTATTTTTAGAGGTCATACAGGCCTGACCAGGGCAAAGGATGTCCAGGCAAAGCAGATCTGGTGACTTCCCCTTTTGACTGTTTCCTCTTTGGTAGAGCCAATGACCAAGGTCTCTGCACTGCCCCCTGCCTGTTCACAGGCATATCATTTAGAAGCTAAAACCACATCATGGGTGGGAGTCTGCACCCCTCTGCACCCACATCCTAAAGGGAGGTGAAGGCCACACCTCTTTCCCAGGGTTTCCCTGAGGACATTGTGGGATGGTGCCCAGGGAGTGTACACCCAGCACAGAGCTGCGTGCCTAGTTGGCGCCCAGTAAATGCCCAGGAGAGTCAAGCACTGGTTGTTCACTCAATGATCATGGAACCCAAGTAGAGTTGTGTTTGGGAGGTGTTGACAACATAGCATATGGGAGCAGGTGAAACTTCAAAGGTCAGTAGGAGTAAGTAGACTGTGAAGGGCCTTGAATGCTAGGCAGCAAGGCAGCGAGGATGGGTTTCAGTGTCACAAGGGCCCCAGGGCTCTGTGTGGACTTGATGGGCCAGCTAGGGTGGAGAGAGGTCCTCCCTGAGGGCTGGCAGTACTTACTCCCATGGGGCTGTGGCTAGAATGGTGTGTTGTTTCAGGGTAACTGTTTCTGACACAGGGTCCAGGTGTGCCAAGATGCTGGGACCTTCTAGATGATCTACCCTCTAGGGCCTTACTGTGTTTGGCCTTCAGCGAGGCCTGGAGACCTCGGGAGGCTGGAAGATGCCAGTGTGAACTTCTCTTTGTTGTGTTTCTGTTCATCACCTCCCTCCCACAAGCATTCCATCTTCTCTGGATTCGATTTATTTTTTTAATTGTACTTTAGATGAAGGTTTACAGAACAAATCATTTCTCATTAAACAGTTAGTACACATATTGTTTTATGACAATGGTTAACAACCCCATGACATGTCAACACTGTCCGTTCTCAGCCTTGGGTTCCCTATTACCAGCTTTCTTATCCCCTCCTGCTTTCTAGTCTTTGTCCCTGGACTGTTGTGCCTCATTAGTCTTGTTTTGTTTTATGGGGCTGTCTAATTTTTGGCTAAGTGGTGAACCTCAGGAGTGACTTCATTACTGAGCTAAAAGGGTGTCTGGGGGCCATACTCTTGTGGTTTCTCCAGTCTCTGTCAGGCCGGTAAGTCTGGTCTTTTTTTGTGAGTTAGAATTTTGTTCTGCATTTTTCTCTTGCTCTGCCCGGGACCCTCTGTTGTGATCCCTGTCAGAGCAGTCAGTGGTGGTAGCTGGGCACCATCTAGTTGTACTGGACTCAGTCTGGTGGAGGCCATGGTAGTTGTGGTCCATTAGTCCTTTGGACTAATCTTTTCTGGATTCAGTTTTGCTTGGTGAAGTGGCCTGGTGTCTGTCGGTTCCCCACTCCCTCTCTCAGGGTGGATGAGGCCCTGTCAACCCTGTTTGTAGCCTGGAATGGCTGTGGGGGGAAGACTTTTGAATTTAATCCTTGAGGTTGTGTAGTTGATGGCAAGACTATATCTTGGCCAATCTTTGGGGATTCTAGAACTCAGAGGGTCTCCCAGCCCCTCCCAGCCAGAGCTCTCAGCCAAGCTGCAGAAATCATCTGGAGAGATCTGTGTGTTTGTGGGCAGTGATCCAAACCAAGATCTCATTTAACAGGTAAGAATGGGGAAGTGACCAGAGCCTGAACCCCCTTCTAATAATCTGAATGGCCCAGGAGGATGTGCTAGTGCAGATCTAGGGGATTTACTTTATCTGGGGTTGGGAAGAGTGTCAGGGACCTCCCCAAAACATGCCAGATCCCTCCCAATTCTCCCATGGGGTATGTGCCTGCCGGCTCCTCTTGCACTGCTGTGGGCCACACAGCAGTGGCAGCTTTTCTGTTTGGAGATGGTGCTCTGGTGATTCCAGAGGATACAGAAGGGAAAACTGAGGCTGAGGCTGACCACTGGGTCAAGGTCCCTGCTCTCTGGCTTTCCCGCCCACTCAGTTTGAGGTGTGAAATGGGGGAGATCTGCAATGATACCTGTTGTTCTTAGGGGGTCTGCTGCAGTTTCCAAGGTTTTCAGGGGTCTCCAGCCTGCCAGGCTCAGGGCCTTATGCATGCCCTTTGCCCCGTATAGTGCCTGGTGATTTGGGCAACCAGCTGGAGGCGAAGCTGGACAAGCCGACAGTCGTTCACTACCTCTGCTCCAAGAAGACAGACAGCTACTTCACACTCTGGCTGAACCTTGAAATGCTGCTGCCTGTCATCATTGACTGCTGGATTGACAATATCAGGTAAGGGCAAGGGGCACATGCTCAGGGTGCTGCTCACCAGTGGAACCCTGAGAGGCCTCCAGAGCCCCTTTTCATGTCATCTGTACCTCAAGAGACCCCAAAGTCACTGACCTCTCTCCCACCCCATTTCCTCAATCTGGTTATCACCAACTCTGTACTCTCCCAGACAGGACTTACCTTTCTGCTGCTCTTGTCCTTACCCCCCTTCTCTGCCCTCTCCAGTTTAGGCCTTCCCCGTTAGAGCCACGTTTCACACATGGTTTCTATGCCCCAGCCCCTGTTTATAGACTCAACATGGCTCCAAACCCTGCCCTTGCCGGTGAGCTGGCCACACCTGCTCCTCCAGCTGCCTGTTCTTCCTGGGCCACACCATGTCTCCATGCCTTTGCACATGCTATTCTTTTGCCCTGAAATTGCCTCCTTCTACACCCATTCACAGGAGCCCTGGGAGCACAACAGTTAAGCACTTGGCTGCTAACTGAAAGGTCAGTGGTTCTAACCCACCAGCTGTTCTGAGGGAGAAAGATGTGGCAGTCCGCTTCCGTAAAGATTACAGCCTTGGAAACCCTGTTGGGCATTTCTGCCCTGTCCTGCAGGGTTGCTATGAGTTGAAATCGACTCAATGGCAATGGGACATTCATTCACCCTTTAAAGACATAGTCACTCTGTAAAGTCTCCCCTTCCTGTCCCCAGAGCTGTTAACTCCTCCTTTCCCAAGGCCACATGAATGTTTCCTCTAATCCTCACCATGTGCCAAACTTTGTTTCCAAGGATGTTTCCCCAATAATAAGATAATAACAGAATGAGAATGATAGTTAATTGAATACAGGCACTGCACATTTTACATACTTTCTTTCATTTAGCCTTACAACAACCCTATGAAGCAGGTACTGTTTTTTAACTTGTTTTACAGATGAACAAATCTGGAAGCTCAAAGAGGTTACTAAATTGCCTGGGGCCACTCAGCTAATACTTAGCAGAATCAAGATTCACACCTGGAATTGTGTGAGTGAACTGAGGTTCTCTCCCAGACTAAGCAACCTGAAGGCAGAGACTGTGTCTCTGTTGTATCTTTATAGTAGTGGAGCCAGGAATACAGTTAGTGCTCAAGAAAGGCTTGAGCTGTAATAACAACCAAAAAATATGTGAGTGGTTACCTAAGTAGATATCTATGCTTATATACATATAGGTAAGCACATATGAATATACAGGTGTGCATATATAGGTATTTCTGTAGACAAATGTATATACGTGTTTGTGCTACATATATATTCATATATAAAATAAAGCACATAGGGGATACAGTTATGGATACTTCCTAGACATAACCAAACACCTTGCGGGATTGGGTTACTGGTGAGGGCTAAGGATCATAGTCTCGGGGGGCAACTCGGTCAATTGGCATAACATAGCTTACAAAGATAATGTTCTCCATCCTAGTTTGGTGAGTAGTGTCTGGGGTCTTAAATGCTTGCAAGTGGCCATGTAAAATACAACTATTTGTCTCTATGCATCTGGAGCAAAAGAGAAAGAAGAAAACCAAAGACTCAAAGAAGAAACTAGTCTACAGGACTAATAGTCTACATGAACTATGGCCTCACCTACCTTGAGATCAGAAGAACTAGACGGTGTTTGGCTACTACTACTGACCCCTCTGAGCAGGGATACAATAGATGGTCCTGGATAGAATGGGAGAAAAATGTAGAACATAGCTCAAATTCCTAAAAAAGGCCAGATTTACTGGGTCAGTAGAGACTAGAGGAACCCTGAGACTATTGCCCTGGGATACCCTTTAAGCTTGGAACTCAAACTATTCCCAGTGGTCACCTATCAGCCAAAAGATGGAGTGACTCATAAAATAAATAATATCACTCGTGAGTATACTGTGCTCCTCTAAACAATCATCTAAATGAGACCTCTAAAAGTCAACATTTACCCTAGACCAAAGATGAGAAGGTAAGGGGGGACAAGGAAGCTAGATTAATGGAAACAGAACAACCAGAATGGAAATAATGAGAATTCTGAGACATTGTAAAAAGTGTAACCAATGTCACTGAGTAATGTATATAGAAATTGTTAAATATTAAATAAAAAAAAAAAAAAGGTTTGAGCTAAATGGAGCCTCACAAATTAGAAGTTTTTTCTATGGGCGTGCTAGCTGGTTCTTCAGGCACCCTGCCCTTCCCAGTTGTTTATGATGCCTGCTTTGTTGGCTCTTTTCCTCCTCTTGTGTGATTCAGGGTTATTTCTGGGCTGTTGATCTGCATTTCTATTTTTGCACCAGAACCATGACCAATTGGAGGGGCAGGCTGGTGCCGAGAGGGGCTTGTCTGCCTTCATTGGTCCTCTGACCTGCTTAGACTTCCACACAGCACAGGGCTGCTTTGGCTTTCCAGAACAATTTTCTGCATTTGGCTTAGGGGCCATACGGGATAATCTACAGATTGCCTTGGTGAGAGTAGGCTCCCAGGATATTTACACTTATTTAGGCCAATGTTTGGGGTCATGTCAGCTTTCTGTGGCTAATCTTTAAGGGGAGTGGGACTCAGGACCACCAAGAACTCTTGGTCTAGCCTGTATTTTCTTGGGTACATTTGCCTCCTTGGTGTCTAGGGAGCAGGGTTCCTGGCCTGGCACAAGGTTTTTCCTCCTGTCTCCCTTCACCCTGCCCTGCCAACCCCTCACGCTTGAGGGGTGCACAGCAGCCATGGGTACTCAAGCCCTCAGGTGGAGGCTTTCCTGTGTGGTTTTGTTGCGTAGTGTACCACAGCCACAGAAACCAATAATAAATGTGTGTTGTTTTAAGATGCAAAGTTTATAAGAATTTGTTTCACTGCAACAGAAAACTAATATAGGACTGTTGGGAATCCCAGGTATCTGGCAGTCCACAACCTATGTCCCTATATTGCAGCTCCTTAGTAATTTGCTGGCCAAGCCCTGAGTGTTGTGGTCACAGTCTGGCAGGTAATATGGCCCTGGGATGTGGACATGTTTTTTTTTTTTTTTTGAGAATATGCACAGCAAAAGACGCCAATTGCACCGTTCCTACATGTACAATTCAATGACATTGATTACATTCTTCGAGCTGTGCAACCCTTTCACCCTCCTTTTTCTAAAGTTGTTCTTCCCCCATTAACTTAAACTTACTACCCCCTAAGTTTCCTGTCTAATCTTTTGAGTTGCTGTTGTCAACTGATCCTGTATAGCTAGATCTTAACATAATACTCAAGGCATTTTTTTCTAGTTGAGCTGAACTATTGTTTGGTTTTAAGAAGACTTCAGGAGGTATTTTTGGTTGAAATTTAAAGATTATCTTGGGGCAGTAATTTCAGGGGTTCATCCAGCTTTCATGGATACAGAAAGTCTGAAGTCCATGAGAATTTGAAATTCTGTTCTACATTTCCCCCTTTTGATCAGGATTCTGGTATAGAATCTTTGAACAAAATGTTCAGTAATGGTAGCTAGGCGCCATCCAGTTCTTCTGGTCCTGTGGCCAAAACCCAACCAATCCCACTGCCGTCAAGTTGATGCCGACTCACAGCGACCCTGTAGGACAGAGTAGAACTGTCGCATAGGGTTTCCAAGGCTGTAAATCTTTATGGAAGCAGACTGCCACATCTTTCTGCTGTGGAGCAGCTGGTGAGTTTGAACCGCTGAACTTCCAGTTAGCAGCCGAGCTCAACCATTGATCCACCAAGGTTCCAGGTCTCATGGCAAAGGAGACAGTTGTTCATGGAGATAATTAGCCACACATCCCATTTTCTCCTATTCCTAACTCTCCTTCCTCTATTGCTCCAGGCAAATAGAGACCAATTATTGTGCCTTGGACTGCAACTTGCAAGCTTTTAAGACCCCAGGCACTATGCAAGGAACTAGGATGTAAAACAGAAGCACTAAACATGTTATTAGGCCAGTTAACTGGGATATCTCATGAAGCCATGTCCCTAAACCTCCAAAGCAAGGAACCGAATCCCATGAGGTGTTTGGTTGTACATAAGCAGCCTCAGCTGCTACTCTTTTTTTTTTTTTTTTGGTCATAAATATATCTATCATACAACTTTTGCCAATTCAACTTTTTATAGGTGCACAACTTTTTGACAGTACTTAAAATAATCAGCTGTGCAACCCTACCCTCAGTGCGATTTTGCCATCACCATAAACCGAAATTCAGTACTCCATAAGTGTCTTAGTTACCCAGTGCTGCTATAACAGAAATACCGCAAGTGGATGGCTTCAACACATAGAAGTTTATTCTCTCACAGTCTAACAGACTAGAAATCCGAATTCAGGGCGTCAGCTCCGGGGGAAGGCTTTCTCTCTCTGTTGGCTCTGGAGGAAGGTCCTTGTCATCAATCTTCCCCTGGACTAGGAGCTTCTCAGCACAGGGATTCCGGATCCAAAGGACATGCTCTGCTCCTGGCACTACTTTCTTGGTGGTATGAGGTCCCCCTGTCTCTCTGCTCGCTTCTCTCTTTTACATCTCAAGAGATTGACTCAAGATACAACTAATCTTGTAGATTAAGTTCTGCCTCATTAACATAACTGCCTCTAATCCTGCCTCATTAACGTCACATTGGAAAATCACATCAGATGACAAAATGGTGGGCAATCACACAGTACTGCAAATCATGGCCTAGCCAAATTGATACACATTTTTTGGGGACACAATTCAATCCATAACAATAAGCAATAACCCCTCTTTTCCCCTTTCCTCCTGCCCTGGTAACCAGTAATAAACTTTGGTCTCTATACATGTGGACATGGCTTGTTCCATTCCTCCATGGACAGTGCAAGATGTGGAATCACCTTGCAGAAAGCAATTTGGCCTTTGTTCTTTCTAGCCAGACCAACCCCTGAAGCTAATGAGTAGGGACCTACCAGACCAAGAGGGACCACCTGGAGGCCTGGTGCTAAGCCTCAGGAGGCATGATATAATCTGTCTTGGCCACATGGTGAGGCTGATAGGAACCCTGAGCCCTCAGATGGAACTTCCTGGTTGGTGACCATGCACAGGAGAGGGTAGTGGGCTTAGCACACCAAGAGAGACCACCTGGGGGCCCGATGCCAAGCTTCACAAGGCATGATGTAATCTATCATGGCCATGTGGTGAGGCCAATAAGGGCCCTAAGACTTAGATGGAGCTTCCTGGCTTCCTAGTTGGTGACCATGCATGGGAGAGGGTAGCTCATGCCTCTTTGGACATAGAAGCTCCACACTGTGATCGCTCCCAGACCTCACCCTATGTGGCTCTTCTGTTTGTATTCTTTTTGGTTGTAATAAAGCTGTAGTATAAGTATGAGGTATTCTCCGTAAATTCTGTGAGTCATTCGGGTAAATTAACGAACTCACAGTGTCAATGAGAGCCAGCAGGCAGGGCATAGTGAGGGTAACGAGTGCCCAGGGGCAATCTCTAAATTGCATAACCCCACAATTCAAGTGCGCAGGGGCAATCTCTAAGCTGCGTGCTGCCCCCCAGTTTCAAGATGAATAGCATTGGTAGCGGTGACACATCAGCAGAAATGCCTTCCCCCCTTATCCAGCTGCCTCAGTCAGGGCGCTTTCATATTTGTGGCACCTCAGAATGTCATTCTGCACCTCGTCTGGTGCCCCCTTGTACTTATGCACAGGCAAATGCCCCCCTCTGCCCCTCCCCCACCCCACCCTGCTATGCCTCTTCCAATAGGGGCTCACATCTTCCTGTTTGGCATCTGAAAGAAGGTGTCTTTCTAACGTGTGAGCTCTGACCTAGCTGGGGCTGAGACAGTACGATGCACAAGCAGCTGGTGAGAAGGATGGAGAAGTGGGAAGGTGAGGACAGGATCCATTTCTACACTTTGGGAATTGGATTCATGCTGATCCTTACCATGCAGTTAGCAATGAAGGTGGGAGTTGCCCACTGTGCCCCCTTGCTTAGTGCATATGGTGTGAGGGGGAGGGAGGCTGGTTCCTGGTTCCAATGTCCAGAACAAATGGGAGCCAGCTGTACCTACCTGGGTCTGCACAAGACCTTTCTCTTGTTTTCCCATCATTTCTTAAGGTCTTGCCCACTCTCCCACCCGGGGTGGGTGAGGGGATGGCACACAGCAGCCACAGGTGCTCAGGCCCTGAGGCAGGGTCTTTCTTGTCTGGTTCTGTTGTGCACTATGCTTTACCATCTCCTTTGACTTGATGTGGTGGGTGGCAGGAGCTAGATCTGTGGAAATGGGGTGATGGGTGCCTGTGAGTTAGACTGTCTCTTGGGGTCAAGTGTGCTGTTCATGGCAGGGCCAGGAGTAGCCCTTCCTTCTCCCAACTGGGTCCACGGCCCTGGGTGTTTTTCAGATGAGTATCCTCATTCTTGGGTGGGTGACATCAGGGAGAAGGGAATGTTGCCTTGACAGTGTTCCTGGGTCAGGGTCTTTGGAGTGAACCTTGGTGGGGGTTCTCATTTGGATATGATTACTCTGATCTGTGTTTTACAAACTTGTGTTATTACTTTTTGGTCTCCCTTATACATCTGACCAATCCTGGGGATGGGAGAGGGGTATGGCTGAGGACATGGGGGGAGGTTTTGGGGCATACCAAGCTAAGTGTTACCTCTGGTTTACCAACTCAGTATCCCCTCCTGACAGGCTGATCTACAATGGAACGTCTCGGGCCACCCAGTTCCCTGATGGTGTGGATGTACGTGTCCCTGGCTTCGGGCAGACCTTCTCACTGGAGTTTCTGGACCCCAGCAAAAGTAGTGTGGGTATGTAGCCCTCACTTACGCTCCCCAGGGCGCAGGATCGGGGGTTCTGCTGGACTCCTGATGTAGGAAGAGCCCTGTCAGTTTGAGGGAGACGGCCTGTGAGCTGTCTCTGACTTGTATGGGTGTAGAGCCCTGTAGCACTCCACCAGTGACCTCCCTGCAGTAGATGGCCACAGTCTCATTGGCAGGTGTCATGTGGGTGGCTGGTGCTGGCTGTCACCTTTCTAATCTTGTGCATTTCTATCCACAGGTTCCTATTTCCACACCATGGTAGAGAACCTTGTGGGGTGGGGCTACACACGGGGTGAGGATGTCCGGGGGGCTCCCTATGACTGGCGCCGAGCCCCAAGTAAGCAACCATTCTCCTCCCCTTCCTGAGGTCTTGGGAGGTGGGGACAAGGAAGTCACAGTCACCATAGGCTCTGGGCTCTCCCCTTACTCCCCAGCCCTCTGGCATCCAGCCCACTGTAAGTAGCCATGATGCCACCCACCCTCCCGAAGTCTTGGGCAGTGAGATGGGGCGGGGGGTGGGGAGGGGTGGGAGGTCACAGCCATCACACCTGATCAGTCTTGTCCATGTCCTTCCCGATCCCTCACCCCAGGACGCCTGGGCCTCTGAGCTCTGGGGAGAGCTAAGAAGCTGAGGTGGAGAAATGGATCCCCTTTGTTTTCTCCCTTCATGGAAACATGGGGAAACCAGACCCTCCCACTTGGATTCTAGCACTCTCTTCATTCACCTAGTCCTGGGTCTGACCTAAGAAATAGTCAGTGGTTTGGGCCCCAGAACCTTTCCTGCCTGACCCCTGCCTGGCTCTGGCCTGCAGATGAAAATGGGCCCTACTTCCTGGCCCTTCGCAAGATGATCGAGGAGATGTACCAGCTGTACGGGGGCCCTGTGGTGCTGGTTGCCCACAGCATGGGCAACATGTACACACTCTACTTTCTGCAGCAGCAGCCACAGGCCTGGAAGGACAAGTATATCCATGCCTTCGTGGCACTGGGTGCACCTTGGGGGGGCGTGGCCAAGACCTTGCGCGTCCTGGCCTCAGGTAAGACCCTGCCTGGTGCTGGTGCTGGTGCTGGGGATGCCGCCCCCTCTTTCCCTCCACCATGCCCTCCTGGGCCTCTCATGTCTCTTCTCTTGATTGGCACCCCTCTTTCTCCAGAGTGTCATTCTTTTTCAAACATCCTTTTTTTAGAAAGAATCTAAAACCACTGCTAAGTCTGCCTTCTCTAGACAATAGCCCTTGTAAGTTTCTTACAGCAAGTATACCGAGTGGCATAACTGTTGGACGGACACACACACTCCTTTCTCCAGAGGAGGAAGTTTGGGCTATAGTTTCGTGTTCATGAGTTACATCTCCATCTGTGGGCAGGAATAGCCTCATTTACTTCTGTGGGCAACGCAGGGAGGAAGTAGGTGCAGACCCGGTTGGGCCTCCTTGCCTGGTGGTTGGGAAAGCTGCCTCCTTCCCTGTTGTCCCTTCTCAATCTACCTGCCACCTGTAGCTGAAGGGCAGGACTGGGACTGGATGGGGGCCCTACTGCCCCTCACTGCGGGAGTAGTGAGCCAGGGCTGTATCTGATAAGCTTCTTCCTCAAGTCACTGGCACTGCCTGACCAGCATATTGGTCAGCTGATGGTGTGTTTGGGTCAAGCCTGTTGCCTCTCGCAGTAGTTACCCTGGGTTGGCTGGACAGTGAACATGGGTCAGAGCCTCAGATATAGGGTGAGGGCTTATCCTAGCCTACTCTGTCCTGCCTGTACCGGGAGGGACAGACACAGGCACCCCTTGAGTCTGAGATGGGGTCATGGGGGAGTTCAGGCCCTGGTCCCTTTCAGAACTTCCCCCATCAGCCCCCTTAGAGCTTTGCCTCACATGCTGGGGAGCTCTTCTGTCAGGCCCTGGCAGTCTGGGAGCAGAGGGTGGCCCATGGACCCCTAGGAGCTTCTCTTTCTTAGGGGCTCTAGAGCCAGATACCAGGCAGAGCTGAGGCCCCTCAGTCAGTCAAGGAAGCCTCTCTGCTTTCAGGTACAGGGTGAGGTAATATGTCCTTATGGGTCCTGAACAGGTTAGAAGCCCCTGCTCCCAAGCTCCACCTCATCCTTTAGAGATCCCACTGACTGGTGGGTGTTTGTGTTATTCACACTCCCGAGTGCTGAGGACTCTAACTCTGTCTGCAGCCTCCCTTCCTGCCCTGTCTCCAGCAGGCCTGGCTGCCCAGGTCAGCCCACAGGCAGATGGGTGGGATGAGACCAGGGCTGGGTGAATGCAGAGTGAGACGAGGAAAAGAAAAACAGCTCAGTGTAATAAAAGAGAACGAGGAATATGTCTCTGGGCTGCCAACCTGCTGATTCACCTCAGACATGGTCAGTGCTCACAGCCCCAGTGATAAGTGCCAGGAGGAGAGAACCATTTACAGATGAGGAAACAAATTGTAAATCACCCTGGGGTGTGTGCTGCCTAAATCCCTGGTGACTAAATGCAAAAGAAAAAAACAAGCCACAGTTTTGTGCTTTCCAGATGTAGCAAAACTAAAGGGAAGCAATAAAAGCTAATGCAGGGATGGTTGTTATCACGTGTTGATGATAAAAGCATGGAGCTGCTGCAGTGTTGACAGGGCCACTGGCTGGGTCTGGCAGGGGGCCTGGTGGTGAATATGCTTGCAGCCAGCTTGCATTCCCGAGCACATACTGACCAGAACCTTCTCCCTGCAGGAGACAACAACCGGATCCCGGTGATTGAGTCACTGAAGATCCGGGAGCAGCAGCGATCTGCCGTCTCCACCAGCTGGATGTTGCCCTACAACCATACCTGGTCACCTGAGAAGGTATTTGTGCGCACACCCACAACCAACTACACACTGCGGGACTATCACCAGTTCTTCCAGGACATTGGCTTTGAGGATGGCTGGCTCATGCGGCAGGACACGGAGGGGCTGGTTGATGCCATGGTTCCGCCTGGTGTGCGACTGCACTGCCTGTATGGCACTGGGGTCCCCACGCCAGACTCCTTCTACTATGAGAGCTTCCCCGACCGTGACCCTAAAATCTACTTTGGCAACGGTGATGGCACTGTGAACCTGCAGAGCGTGCTGCAGTGCCAGGCCTGGCACGGCCGCCAGGAACAGCAAGTGTCGTTGCTGGCACTGCCAGGCAGCGAGCACATCGAGATGCTGGTCAACACCACCACCCTGGCGTACCTGAAACGTGTGCTTCTTGGGCCCTGATTCTGGTGCCAGGCAGGACTTCTGGGTGACTTGGTCACAGCCGCTTCTCTTGGCCTCTGGGGCTGTTGTGGCCCACGGGTTTGTGACCAACCATCCAAGGCCCTGGGTTTTGCAATGTGAAGTGTTGCTTTTTATCCTCCTTGTGTGGGAGTGAAGGAGGAAGAAGTCAAGCCTGAACTCAAGGAACCTTTGATAAAAAGAATACTGCTGCTAGTGGAATTGGTGTGGCTTCAGGACTGCCTCTGCAAGGTGGATTGGCTGGCACCTGGTCCCAGTCCCCAACTCCAGGGCCATGTGTTCCTCCTGCCCCTATGGCCTAATCACACTCGCCTACCATGCCCTGGCACCTCAGCTTTCTTGTGAGGGGTGTTACTAAGCTGTGGTCCCTGACCCCAAGAGCCCAGGGAGGGGCTTCTAGCCCTTAAGGTGACACTTCCCACATACTGGCCATAGCCCCAGGCCCATGTGGGCCTGCTACTGGCCATAGGTGGCTGGAACTGCTGGCCCTTGTGGCCTAGCTCCTTGGCAGTCTGTTTGTGGCTTCTTGGGGGCAGCCCATTTCTCCTGCAGGCTGAGGCAGATTGTTGTGTTCTCCATGGTACCAGGCCCTTGGGCATTCATTTCAACCTCCCTCACCTCCAGAAGCAGCCTAGCCAGGCCTGACTGGTGGGCTTAGGATGGGGCAACAGATGGTCCCCCAGTTCTGGGGACTGTGTCCCAGGGCGCCTGATCCTCTCAGTTGGGCTGTTGGCCACAGTACTGATGCTGACTCTCTTTGCCCTGAAACTGTGGTCCAGGTATGAGAGCAGGGCCCAGTGCCATGACCTTCTAGGTGCTTGTGGAGAAAGGGAGCTTAGGGAAGCAGCCAAGGCTGCCTAGAGCTTTCTTGAACTGCCCTTCCACTAACCCACCACCACACTGCCACCTGCCTTAGGGCTCTCCAGTAGCCAAATGAGCTGGCCCAGGGTGAGAGGAGGTGGGGCTCCTGCCTGTCCTGCTGAGCACTGGCCATCACCAGGCAACTGCATGGTGTTCAGTCTGCAGGGACTAGCCCAGAAACTTGAGTAGGTTGATAGGTTGCCCCTTTGACAGCCAGGTGCCTTGGGGGCTCTCCTGGGGGTTTTCTCTCTGCTCCAGAGGTGCTACATGAGCCTCCCCATGATAGGAGGGATGGAGGATCTGGGCATGCCCTGGTGGCAAAGGGCTCCAAGTGGATGACTGGCTATAGGCCGAGACTTGGGTCCAGCTTCTAGAGTGGGGCCCCCAGGCCACATTCAGGGACTGTCAGGCTGGACTGTGCTGATTTCCCACAAGGTTTCTGTGGAGCTGGATTTTCTCTGTTGCATACACCCCCAACATCTGTCTCTCCCTTTGTTCCTGAGTGGTGGGCCCTGGATGGGGCTCTGAGCAGCTGTATCTCCATTGCAGCAATAAAAGTATTCTGGATGCTGTAAGGTACCTGGCCTAGGCTCTGCTCTGAGCATGAGGGGAGGGAAGTGGCAGAGGGGTGAGGGGGCCTAGAGAAGGTGATCAGGGCTGGATCTTCACTGGGGCATTGATGGGTTCTCTCAGCACCAAGGCATGGCCCCTGTGCCCCTTTTTGGGCTTCATCCTCCTGCCCCTGAGAGCTGCCCCCTTTCTTGGAATCCAGCTCCCTTCCTGAGACTCAGAACCTGAACCGTTACTATTGGAATGCAGCTCCTGCCCTCCCCCTGCCCCTTCCTGGTCAGCAGGCCTCACATGCCACCTCAGAGCTAGGGGCTGAGGACAGTCCTATAGGTCACTCTGGTTGCACTCCCTTTCCCAGCCTTCTGCCTTCCCACAACTTGTAGTTCTTAGCATTTTTTGAAGCTAAAATTCTTTTTAGGACATCACTCTTCCGCTTTGCTTCTTCAGGCACATTTGTCCACCACCTCTCTGTCTTTGGAGACAGAGAGACTGAGAAGGAAGAGAGACCTGGCTGAGATTGGTATGAACAGTGACCCAGATTGACAAAGAAAGAGAAATGAATAGAGATAGTGACAGAGAGACTGGGGACCAAATGGAGATGGACAGAGAGATTGGGACAAGGACAGGGAAACAGAGATAATGTCTGAGATAGAGAGACATATGTAGGGATGGGGTCCAGCTTGAATATTGTGGTCCAGAGCCCAGAGCCCAGAGCTTGGGGCCTGTGGGGTTAGTAGGAGTCGTAGTTCCTGCCTAGTTCTTCACAGATTCTTGCCAGTCCAGGCTCTAACCTTCATCACACCTTTGGCCACCAGAGGGCACTCTGAACCCTCTCACTGTGCAAGTTATAAATCAAACCTGGAAAGAAGGAGCTTTCCAGAGAAGGGCGAGGGACTCTCAGGATACACACTGCAGCACTGGCCTCACTGGCCTCAGTTAGATGAAAGGAAGCAAACCCCCGTCCCCAGGCCCTGCTCAGCCCAGCTCTGCCCCACTACTCACCCATGCATGCCACTCTTGTGGTGGCCCTCCAGCCACTTACCCCTGACCTGTTTCAGCCCCTCTGCCATCCTTGGTTTCACAACTGCAGACGGAGGGTGTGGAGTCAGAGTAGACTTCAGGATCAGCAGACCTGGGTTCAAATCCCAGCTCTACCGGCCCCAGCCAAGTAGCCCAGGGATTCTCCTGACCTTGAGCCTCTTTTCCTCATCTGAAGAATGAGGATGACTAAATGTACCCTGCAGGGTAGTCCTGAGGAACGTTGATGGTGCTGGGGATTGTCTGACTCAGTGCTTAGTGCTCAGTGGACTTTCAGCTGACAGGTGGCTATAACTGGGTTTTAGACAGAGTGAAGCTAGAGGTCTGGGAATTGACAGTTGCTGTATGCAGCTGTTGCAAGGGTATGTGGACTGGCTGCCACTGAGTGACACAGAAGTGTCTAGAGTCCTCCCTCTGCCTGGCCAGGGAGGCAGGAGGAAACAGATGGGAGGGGCAAAGGGTCAGACTAATGACTCCAAATGTATTTACACACTCCTTTACACCTAAGGGAAGGTCTTCCAGGGAGAGGGTACAACAAGGGCAGCACCAGCTAAGGCTTCCTCAAGGGTTCTGATCGTCATCTCAGGGCTATGGTGATGGGGATAGAAGGGCTTAGGCAAGGGAGATACAAAACCATTCCAGCCTGTATTTTAGGAGGATCCCCTATAGGGGATGAGTTGGAGGGAGCAGGATAGGGGCTGGGAGCCATGGGGGGTTGTGGCAGTGTCCCAGAAACCCAAACCCATTGCCATCAAGTCGATTGCAACTCACAGGAACCCTACAGGACAAAGTAGAACTGCCCCATATGTTTTCCAAGGCTGTAATCTTTATGGCTGGGGCGTTTGAACTATGACCTTTCAGTTAGCAGCCAAACAAGCTCTTAACCATGGCGCCACCAAGGCTTCTTACCCAGGTGTGGCTAAAACCAAAATCCAAACCCGTTGCCACTGAGTTGATTCCGACTCTATAGGACAGAATAGAACTGCTCCATAGGGTTTTCAAGGAGCGGCTGGTGGATTTCAACTGCTGACCTTTTGGTTTCTTTTTTTTTTTAATTTTATTTTTTCCCATACAAAAATTTATACATACACTGTAATATGACTCTAATTCCTCTCCCCATACTGTGACAGCACACTCCTCCTTTCCACCCCTGATTCCCCATGTCCATTCAACCAGCTCCTAACCCTTTCTGCCTTCCCATCTCTCCTCTGGACGGAAGCTGCCCGTTTAGTCTCTTGTATGTACTTGAGCTAAGAGGCACACTCCTCACAAGTATCACTTTATGTCCCACAGTCCAGTCCAATCCCTGTCTGAAGAGTTGACCTTGGAAATTTTTTTAGTTCTGGGCTGATAGAGAATCCAGGGGCCATGCTTTCTGGGGTACCTCCAGTCTCAGTCAGACCATTAAGTCTGCTCTTCTTACTAGAATTTGAGTTCTGCACCCTGCCTTTCTCCTGCTCCATCCAGAACTCTCTGTTGTGTTCCCTGTCAGGGCGGTCATTGGTGGTAGCTGGGCACCATCTAGTTCTTCTGGTCTCAGGCTGATGCAGTCTCTGGTTTATGTGGCCCTTTCTGTCTCTTGGGCTACTACTTACCTTGTGTCTTTGGTGTTCTTCATTCTCCTTTACTCCAGGTGGTTGGGACCAATTGATGCCTCTTAGATGGCCACCTGCAAGCTTTTAAAAGACCCCAGATGCCACTCCCCAAAGTAGAATGCAGAGCATTTTCTTAATAAGTTTTGTTATGCCAATTGACCTAGATGTCCCCTGAAAGCATGGTCCCCAGGCCCCTAACGCTGCTTCTCTGTCCCTCAAAGTGTTTGACTGTATTCAGGAAACTTCTTAGCTTTGGTTTAGTCCAGTTGTGCTGACTTCCCCTGTAGTGAGTACCGTCCTTCCTTTCACCTAAGATAATTCTTATCTACTATCTAGTTAGTAAATAACCCTCCCCCTCCTTCCCCACCCTCATAATTATCAAATAATTTTTTTTTCTGGGTTTAAACCTTTTCTTGAAGAACTGCTGACATTTTGGTTAGCAGGCAGAGCTCTCAACCACTGCACCACCAGGGCCCCCAGGTGTGGCTAGGGAGAAGAAAATCATGGGTCGCAGGGCCTGGGGAAGAGGAAATGGTCCAGGGTGCTGCCCATCTCTGATTGGGTCCTGGGTATGGGGAACTTAGGGGTTTGGGTGTAGTCAGTCAGAAACCAGACATGTGCAGTTGCAAACTGTCTGGAGGACATACCTCCATGGCCAGGGAGATGGTCAGCACCTAACGTGTGTTGACAGAAAGCTAAGGGAGAGGGCTTAGCTGTCCAGGAGGTTAGGAGGCCCAGGCAGAGCCCCAGAGCTACCAGAAAAGGAACCCCAGGAGGCAGAGGAGGAACAGCCAGAGGGAGAGGAGGAGGACAGGAGGGTGCAGCTCCCTCAAGAGGGTGTCAGCTGGGTCAGGGAAGATGAGGATTAAAAGATGTCTTCAGGCTTGATCCCCAAGTAGGCCTGGAGTTGGTTGTGGGAGCAGGGCCTGTCTATGTGTCTGTGAGGGCTCATGTGAGGCGGCCTGAGCTGTGAGTGTGGGAAGACAAGTCCAGGCTGTGTGTGTTTCCATAGGGTCCCTAGGCCCAGCGTCTGCTGTGACCTGGGTGTGGAAGCTGTTTAGCGCTCCGCCTGTCAGCTGTATGGGGCGCCCTGAATGTGGGGCCCAGGCCAGATAGGAACCGGGTAAGGGGGCCATTTAGCGCTTCCACTTGAGCGTCGCCGTAAAACTCCATGCAGGGAGTGAGAATGGCTGTCCGGGCCGGCGAGAGTGGCTGGGCCCAGGTCACCGCCGTGTTGGCCCCGGCGTGGCCCCGCTGGGGGTTAAGAGGCACCTGCACGCAGACGCTGGGGACGCATACTGGAGTGCTGGAGCTCGGCCCGCGGCGGCCACTGGGGCCGGAAACGTCGCTGCCCGCCGGCAAGCACCGTAGACGACGCCTTGTCCCGACGCGGCGTGCTCTGTCGCGATCCGGCGGCGAGTGACGTGGCGGGGGCGGAGCCTAAGCTGCGGGAGCGGCGGCGGCGGCGGCACAACGGAGCATCCTGGCTGCGCCTGGCCGCGGGAAGGTAACGGGCTGGGCCGCGGGCGGGCCAGCTGCCCCGGAGAGCAGGCCGGGTCTGGTCGGGCCAGCTTTTCCGCGCCGCCGCGCTCTCCGTGCTGCGTCCCTCCCAGGGCCAGGGAGCCGGGCGCGGGGCTGCGGGCCGGGGCGCTTGAGAGGAGCGCCAGGGAGAGAGCGTGTGCGAGACCCTGAGCGGGAGGGTGATCTCTGGAGTGTGCGAGACCCTGGGTGTGAGGGAGACTCCATATGTGAGAGACCCAGAGTCTTAGGGTGACTGTGAGTGTGTGAGACCTTGAGTGTGAGGGGCATGCTATGAGTATGAGAGGTTAGACCATGAGTGTGTGAAAGACTGACCGGGAAGGTGACTCTGGGAGGGTGTGAGACCCTGAATTTAAGACTGTGAGTGTGTTAGACTCTGAATGTGAGGGAGACTTCGTGTGTGTGTGTGTGTGTGTGTGTAAGGGAGAGAAAGAGACCCTGGGTGTGAGGGAGACTGTGTGTGTGTGTGAGAGAGAGAGAAAGAGATCCTGGGTGTGAGGAAGACTGTGCATGTGTGTGTGTGTGTGTGTGTGTGTGTGTGTGAGTGTGTGTGTGAGAGAGAGAGAGAGAGAGAGATTGAGAGAGAGAGAACGAAAGACCTTGGGTATGAAGGTGACTGTGTATACAAGACTCTGGTTGTGAGGGTAACTGAGTGTAAGAAAGACTGATAGTATAAGACTCTGAGTGTGTAAGAGGTCCTGAGTGTGAGGGTGACTGGGAATGTGAGAGACTGGATGTGAGGGTGGTTTGGAGTAGAAGACTGTGAGTATGCAAGAGACTCTGAGCTAGAGGGAGACTG